TAGTGGATGGGAGAATTTACTTAGCAAAGTTTGTTCTTTTTGTGCCAAACATGACATTAATATTTTGAATATGGATGTCATATTTTTTATTCATGGGCGATTACAATGGAAGACTAAAGGTATCACAAACGTGCATCATTACCGTATTGAAGCATTTTATAGTGTCCTAGATATTCAGCTTCAAGAGTTGAATAATCGTTTCAATGAGTTAAACACTGAATTATTTGTTTGTTTGGCATGCTTATGTCCAAATAAATTTTTTGTTGCTTTTGATAAGCAAAAATTGATGCGCCTTGCTGAACTTTATCCATAAGATTTTTCTAACTTAGAATTCGTAGCACTTGATTCTCAATTTGATATTTACATTTTGGATGTACTCTCTAATGTCAAATTTATGGAATTGAATGGGACTGGAGATCTTGCAAGAGTGATGGTTGAAACTAAGAAGGATAGAGTGTTTTCATTAGTTTATATATTGATAAAATTAACATTGATTTTGCTGGTTGCCGCTACTAGTGTAGAGAGAGCATTTTCAGTAATAAATGTTGTGAAAAATCGTTTGCGAAATAGAATGAGTGATTAATGGTTGAATGATAGTTTAGTTTTATATATAGAGAATGATGTATTTGATAGTATTGATAATAAAGTCATTATACAATATTTTCAAAAGATGAAATCTCGTCGAGGACAATTATAAATGTATTAGTTAATAAGAATTTTATTAATACAAATATTTGTGTTTATCTTTATTTATCTTTATGTTAATTATTATTTTAACTTTTGACCCCATGAGTTTCATTCCATGGTCCGCCCCTGGAAACGGTCATTTCTTCCATGAGAAACGACTATTCATAAAGAACGATTGTTCTTAGAAGAACGGTCATTTCCCTATAAAAAAAAAAAAAAAAAAAATCATTTCTTAGTCTAGTAAAAACCAGTTTTGTGTCTTAGGTGTAGTGGAGTTGACATGCAGTGCAAACTCCATTATTCATATTTAGGGTTGTAGAGAAAAGTTTGTGAGATTGGACGTATTACTCTAGTCTTAAACCACTAGAATTTTCAATGATAAGTCAAGTTACTAATGTTAAATACTTGAAAGTACGTCCTTCAAACTAACGTGGTTACTATAATTCTACGTTGAAACAATATATTTTGAGCAAAGACGGGTGAATTAAAAGTGAATTGCCCTTTCTGTTTTATATGTAGGAGCAAATTATCTATTTGTTGTCTATTAAAATTAAGGAGGTCAATATTTAATATTTTGAACTACAGAATCTGGACATACAAGCCCAAACCCAAGTGTCAATCATTATCTTATTGAATAGGTGTATTTCTTAAACCCCTTGATAGTTGATAGAGGATGCTAATGTTAAATGACCTTCAAAATTTAAAGACGTTCGTCTTTTTTTTTATTATTTTGGATAGGATTTCTAGGATTTTTGAAAAGTAAGAGCTTACGGTAAGATTTGAAAATTAAAAAATACCCCCTAGTTTGTTAATTTATTAAACACCCTTGTAATAAACATTAAAATTAACAAAAACACCCCCCCCACACATTAAATACCGACACGCAGCGCCACCACCGTCGGAGGGTAGCCGAGTCGTCGTATTGGCACACACCAGCTAGATCTGGTTGATCGTGTGTCGATATAGCCTTTTCAATCAGACCATCTTAAATATAACCGAAAAAAAGTCAGATCTACTACTAGATCTGGTCGTTGATGGCCAGATCTGGCCATGTTTGGTCATCAACGATGGCTAAGATATGGTTTGTCGTTGGCCATCGTTGCACGACTACTACGCGCCAAAGATTTGGTTGTCAACGACCAGATTTTTGGCCTTAGATCTGACATTTTCCGACCCAATCCACAGTAGATCTGGCTGGAAAAGGCTAATTACGCACTACCGGCCAAATCTAGCCAGTAGTGCGCCCATTATACCAGATCCCGGCCACCTACTGATGGTGGGGGTCGAAATCTTGTAGAGTGGTGGTGGAGGTGTCTTTATCATTGTTAAACTTTTTTTTTAGGTGTTTTAGTTAAATTAACAAACCTAGGGGGTTTAAAAATAATTAAATAAAATAAAATAAGATTTTCAGAATAAGGAAACAATGTGTATTTTGGAAAAAACAGAATAGGATAGTGTAAAAATAGGGAAACAAACGCACATTCTGCCTTCCTATTTGCATTCTAGAAATTTACTTCATTTACTTGCGAAATTGTTTAATATGAAACACACTAATTATTATTGCAACGTATTAAATCCCTTTACTAAAGGTTTTTTCTATATTGTCCGATCGTTATAAATAGTTTTTATAATATTTTTTAAGGGTTTTTTTTTTATAATTATTAAAGAATATAATATTTTTTAATAACAATGAGTGTATTAAAACTTAACGATTTCATAAGGTAAATAAAATGAACTCTTATGTATACACATTTATCTATGCATAAAACATCCCATGGAGCTAATTTTATGGTTGTTGTTATGTGATGGTTTTTCAGTGGTGTAGATTTGGTTATATACTATTGGTGGTTGGTTATGCTAGACAAGGCTACTTTGGCAATTGGAAGACTGGGTGTTGATCTAGTGCTTTGTCTTTGTGTCATTAAGGCCCCTACTTGTTATGTCCTTAGTTATGGATTCCTTCTGTAAATGCTTATGCATATGGTTTTGTATTTTGATACTTTTGAACCTAACCTAGGGTCTGTCCTGTGTAGGTGGATTCATTGTATTCTTTAATCTCCGTTTGGGTCCATTTCTTTGACAAAGGAATGTGGAAAAGAGTAGATTAGGGGTAGACTTAGATATTCAGTCTTTTTCCCTAACCCAAGGCTTGTCCTGAGTAGGTTGGCCGACTTTTAGGCCTTTTGTACATCTTTCTCTCCCTTGTCTATAAAGCTTACTTACCCAAAAAAAAAAAAAAAAATTATTACTGAGATGGTCAACTAAAATATTATTAATTTTTATATAAGTATCAGATGTTTGAATCCATGTATGCATCATTCTAATAGCTGGAAGCATAAGTAGAGCATAGCACGATTTATGTTATGTACATTTTCGAAGAAATAATTTTGCTTATGCAATCTTTTGGAATTTATTTCCCCCCAATAACGTTAGGGAAATGCAAATTCCTTTCTTACTATCATAGCACTTCAATTTCTATAACAGATAATTTTATGTTAAGTATACCCACAGCATGTTTGGTTTCATTATTTTTATTCCTATTCTGGATCGGATTATTAAAATAATGTTTGGTTCATTTTTTTCAAAACTCTATCCCCAAAACATGATCCATGACACAGTTTGAATTGTCTGCACCTTCACAGCTTTCTTAGGTTTGACCGTTTCATTTTTTTTTTTTTATCATTTTTTTCTGCACTGCGTGAACCATTTTCTTCACTTTTCGTGACTGCTTCACCATTTTCTGCGCGCTGCATCTGACTGAGAAAATTAAACAGTTGGATTTAGTACTCTATCCCCAAACATGATCCTGACACAAGTTTGTGCAGGTGTATGTAATGGAGTATACGTGTAATAATGATGTAGGGTTGATGTTAGTACTTTTGTTATATATGTATTGTGATGTTTTTAACAGTTGGATTAGTACTTTGATTAATATGGGTTTTGTGTTGTTTTTTAATTTTACGGGTGACAATTACCAATAAATATTTAGTTATATTAAAATAATACTTGATAAGTTATATATATATAATACATTATTCAACAAAATTCAACAAAATATTATATTAATAAATCATTTATAAAAAAAATATATATCAAATATTCAACACAAATATCAAGGTCAAAATACTCAACCAACACATATTCTATAATCCTATTCTCGTAATCATAACCCTATCCAACTATCCAATCCTATCCCCAAAATCACATCCAAATAATGAACCAACGCATCCCAAAGTATTCTTATCACTACACTTGACTTGCATAGGCACGACCTCTCTTGATATTGTAGTGATTGTGGGCAGCTGCTTTAATTAAGTTTCTTGTTTGGTTTTTGCTGCTCCTGTATGGGATCTGGTTGTCTTCTTTTGCAGTAGCCTGGGAGGGTTTTTTGTGGATGTCAGGTTGCTTGTTTTTGAGCTTAAGGATTATTAGGCTTTATATCAGTTTTGGGTTAAATTGTAATAAGTTGGGTTCATTTTGTAAAAATACAAACTAGTATCTAAAACAGAGCGTAGCAAATGTATATAAATACTCTGCAGCTTCCTCTTCAACTCAGCTAATGAAAAACTTCCATTGTCTAATATTCTCTTACGTCCAAATTCTTTTATCTTCTCTGTATTTTTTTTCTTCTCCATTTTTTTCTTGGCTAGTCGAAACTTCTTCATGGTATTAGAGCTGAAGAAAAGCGTCAATGGCTACTACTGGTCTTGAAATAGTGAATCGTGCTTCAAAAATTGGAAGTATGAACATGACTAGCTCAATTGTGCAGTCGTCACTACTGTCTCTTACTGTGAAGCTGGTAAAGAGAAATTACAACTATTGGCGCTCTCAAATTCTACCAGCCTTAATCTCTCATGAGCTTGACGGCTACATTACAGGTGATTTTACTTGTCCCTCTATGTTTCAAATTGAAAAATCAGAAGATGGTGAGAAATTGATAAAAATACCAAACCCTAAGTACTCTGAATGGAAGAAGACAGACCAATGTTTAGTTAGCAAGTTAACTTCCTCAATTTATGAATCTATGTTCATACACGCAGCGAAACGTACTGGTGCCAATGAGATTTGGAACACTCTAGAGTTACATTTCCAATCTTTCTCAAAGGCTAGGACATTACATTTGAGGAACTTGTTACAAACCACGAAAAAAGAGGCTTTAAGTATAAATGACTATGTTCTAACCATGAAAGAACTAGTAAATAAATTGGTTGCAAGCGGAGTGTCCACTGGAGATGCAGAACTGCTCTAATACATCCTAGATGGTTTGGGACCTTAATATGACGTTGTGGTAGCTAACTTGGTTTCCAATAGTATTAATGCCTCTTTTCAAGAAGCTCAGCTTTTGCTTCAAATACATGAGATGCGTTTGGAGAGACAGAATGATGCATTATTGAATTTTCATGAACACTTGAACTCTGTACTGCTAGCTTCAAAACAAGGAGCAATTGATACTCATTTATCTGCATCTTTGCGTTAGAATTCTTCTACTCCTATCTCTTTTGGAACTGTGATTCAGAGTAACATACCGAACTACCAGAACTCTATATCCTATGTCTAGCAACCTTTCAATACTATATCCTATGTCCAACAACTTACCATTGCTATGCCTTATGTCCAGCAACCTATCAGTGCAAATTTTAATCAAGGATTCTTTCCTAATGTTCCTGGCTATAGTGGTAATAATATGATGAGAAGACAAGGATGAGGCAGAGGTTACTGTAGACCAAGATTGGTATGTCAGGTCTGTAGTAAACCTGGTCACTCTGCTTTACAGTGTTATCACCACTTTGACCAAGAGTTTCAAGGTTTTCTAGTACATAATTTTAACTCTCAAGTGCAGAAATACAATTCCCAAACTCCTCTTGTCTCATATAACACCTTTGGTTCCTCTTAATCTATTGGGTCAGGAGCTTTTATAGAACCTACTCAGGCTATGTATGCAGCTCAATAGCGTTATTTTAGTCATTTTCCTACTAACTCCTTTGCACAACGGGGCTCATTTAATCCCTCTCATGTCAACTCCTTTGGCATGTTTCATGATATGTCAGCTAGTGCTAACTCAAACAACCTCAGCAACAACTTGTTGGTTCTCCTTACAACTTTCAGTCTGATGGGAATACCACTGCACCTTTGCCTCCACTCTTGGCTACTTCTGGTTCGAGTGGTACCACTTCACAAACTCTCCTTGATCAATCTTGGTTCATGGACTCAGAGGCCTCCAACCAAATGACCTCTGATGCTTCAAACATGATGGTAAAGTCCAACTACTCGGGTAGCTCTAAAGTGTAGGTTGGCAATCGAGAATCCATCCCCATCACACATATATGTATGCTGCTGTTGCCCTCTCATGAGTCTAATAGAGTATTGAAACTACAGAATATCTTGTGTGTACCTCAATTTGCTAAGAATCTATTAAGTATATCTCATATTACAAAATATAATAATGTTATCGTTGAATTTCACTCGGATCATTGTGTGATAAAGCATAAGTATAGCAAAAGAATACTGCTCCAAGGGACAGTCAAAGATGGACTGTATCATTTGACTTTGCCCAGCAATACTCTCAATCTGCCTGGTTGCTTAGTTGGGAGACAACNAATAGAACCTCAAGACAACTGCTTTATTAGTATATCCTTCTCGCCGATCACGAAAGGAATTCCGAACCATACTCATTGGCTGAAATAGAAAGAAAAAATTCAGATCAGCCATGCAATATTCAAAAATACAAAACAAAAGAAAATTTGGTCATAGCTGCATGAAAAATCACAACATTGCTTAACCACAAAATACTACCGATTGGTTAATGAGGTTCATCACCTAGGTTAATGAAGTTCATCACCCAAAGTTCAAATCTTTACATCTGCTAACCATCATAACTATATTTAAGAACGAAAAGGCCTACTTACATAGTTTTGCTTCGGTAATATTACAGCTCGAAAAACTCTCTCCAGCCCATTCAGAATGAAGTAACTACATAACAATTTAAAAGGTAAACAAATTAAATAAAGAATGCAGTAATTAAAAAATAAAAGAAAAGCAAGTGTCTTTCATCTAATACTTGGCACATCAGAAGGGACTCAAATACCGTAATCAAGCAAAATATGAAAAGAAAATACCGCCTGAACTCAGAAGCAAATATAACTGGCAGTTGGAAGCAATGCAAGATTTACTATGAAAGAAGATAAAATTCATATTAACCTTTTACTACTTCTATTATAGCATTCCGATTTCACTCAGATAAAAACATCTCCGCACAACTAGAAAAATTATCTTTGGGTTTATTATACAAATTACTTATAAAATTCCAATCAACATCATCATGCAACTCTATATCTATAGAGACATAACAATATAATGAAAGCATTTCCAGATTAGTATCTTTTACTAGCTTCTCATATGCAATCAAGAAAATTCAGTCAAGAGAGGCCAAACACCATGTCATGAAAAGGTTCAATATAATCAAATACAAATACAAAAACCAGTAAAACAAGGATAATATGTGATTACTATGGAAGACATTGAATCGCTTACCCACCAACTTCTGATGCCTCCTCCTTGAAAGATTTTAATTTTTGGGGATCAGCATCTCGTAGATGACAACGTTTAGACTGCATCAAGTACTCAACTCATCAATTGTGACACCACACTCAAGAAAAATTCAGTGGTCACACCAAACTAAATTAAATATAGAGTGTTTTATGTAGATAATAATCAGCCTCCTATTGTCTTGTGTAAGCAAATGATTATCAATCAGACGTTCACGCTTGTGTATGCAAAAATGCATTACATGTAATAACACATATTTATTTGTAGCAATACTTTCAAGAATAATGAGATTGAATCTCACAAACAAATGATGCCACAAACAACAAGGTTTAACAAATAAGAAAAAAAATTGAGGAAAAGATAACTGACCAAGTACAGGAGACAAACACACATAAACTTACTAAAAATACAGGTATAATATATATATATAGTTCTTTACAATAATGTGCCTATCTAGGGTCATTAACTCATCAGGTGCAAGCTGTGCTTTGAAACATACTGATGACATATAGCCATAACCTGGTTAGAGGCAAACTGCTATCCCTCGAAGCAAAGCTATAAAGAATTTTCCTATGGTCTTTCTTGACAAGGGTACCCAACAATACAAAAAAGGACTGCTACAGTGTTTGAAGAAACAACCTTTGATGCAGCTAGCTTTAAAACCTATATAGAAATTCAGTTTTATTTACCATCTGCATTTTGAGTCTATGAGCCAGTTTTTCATAGCAAATGAGAAACATTTCTAATTAAAAGAATAATGCTGATGAATGGTATGGACCTTGCCAGCGGCATGAGTGTATGACATCTACGTTTGAACTCTCTAAAAACCCTTTACTTTCATATACAACTAATATATCATTCTTTATGCATTTACTGTTAAGACATTTAACAAAATATGTCTACGCTTCACAGAAGACAAAAAAAAATAGAAAATTTAGAGACAGAGCAAAGAGCACCAACCTTTAACATTATAGGAAATTGCCCAAAATTGAATTTATCTCTTATAACTGCAGAGTCATCATATTGAAATTCAACATCCGCCATTAACTTGCCGGTATATGATATTTTAGCCTGTCGACACTGTTTCCAGAAAACAAAAACTGCCAATTAATTTACTTCTTAAAATTAAAAAATAAAATTATATATTAAANCTATTTTGGGACATGCCCCAAAAAAAGGAATAAAAAGAAACAAGCCTACAAATGGCCATCTGCTCTTGGGATTTATCTTAAACCACAAAGGGAGATAAACACCAAGAAGAAAGCAAAGAGAACACCAAAAATTCCACCTACCATAGGACACCTCCCTAGGTTAGGATCCTTAAAAGAAAAACACGAGATCAAACTCTTTACAAATGATACAAATACAACCAAGCAAAAACCATTTTGCGTAACCCTCCATAATTCTAGTCTTCAATGATTTTTTGTAGTAAGCATCCGTTAGCTTTTGTCTTTACATTATCCACAAATGTGCTCATAACAAATAAATTATTAAAAATCATTGGAGAATGGAGGGTTAAGCATCTTCAAAATTACTATAAAAATATAAGATACAATTAATAATTTAATATAAAATAAATATTTTATGCAAAATATCTCAACAGATCTCACCATTTGCAAAATAACTCTTTTATTTTCATATTTCCACTTGTTTTGTATGTATTTTTCATCCTATATTTTCAACTAGGCCTGACAAAATGGATCTTGTAATGGTACGGATTAATGTTAGGACCCGTGGAACAGAACTCGTACCCAGCCCGCCCGTTATTCTTGCAGGTGGGCCGGGTGATACCCGCAGGATTAAATTTGAGTAATTCCTTTTGGGCTGGAACGCTTGATCTCAGTTATGGGATATTGGTTATGCTTTGAGTTTGAATGCTGGCCTGCTCAATTTAATGATTGTTTTGATTTTTCAAAGCGTCGAATTGTATGGTATAGACGCTGGTTTTGAATTTTGTTTAGAAACACATTATGGATTAAAACTATATTGTTGTTGTTTCAGATTAATGTCTTTCTGGGTTTTCTTTTCTCCATTATCAGCTTCTCAACAATCATGTATTTGTTCTTGTGATGAGATTAAGCATTGGTAAAAGAATCTTGGGTTGAGAGAATTTGTAATCAGTAATCGCCAATGTCTAGTGGATTGAACTCTGCGCGAGTTAATATGTTTTTTTATTCTTTCTGAGTTCTTTTTGAAACCTTTTTTGGGGTGCGAAATTATTTTCAAATTCAGAAATCTTACTCATCTTCCATATTCAAGTCTATTTCATTTTTCTTATCTATTTCAAAATATCTCTCTAAAGAATACTAAAATCCCTAGGTTGGTGTACAACTAAAACAAATCTTAGCAACTAAAACAAATTTGGGAAAAAATTAAAATGTTAAATTTAGATTTGGGAAACGGGTGATCCATGGGTCCACCCATACGGCCATACCCACATAACCAAGTAAGGGTGATACGTTTCCTTTACCCGTTCACAATTTTCACCCGTTTGACCCGTACTGTAGTTACTCAGGCCATACCCATCTGGTCCACCAGTTTGCCAGGTATATTTTTGATGGAGTAAACAAAAAGGCTTTTATATCGCGCGTTTTTTGATTTGTGCTTAGGGTTGTGGCTTAGACTCACCCAAACCCAAAACCCGGAATTATAGTTGGGGAACGCTATTCCATCGATTTTTTTCTGCTTGCGTCAATTTAAGTTTCATAAGGGTATAAATCAGTCATTAGGTGAGAGAAAGACTTGACGTATGAAAAAAGTGCTACACACCACACTCAAGGTACTAATGACTTTGACTAGACACGAATGATCAAGGACATGAAAAAATGATCGTCCCTATTAAAGAATGACATTCCTTTATGGAACGGTCATACCTTATCAAGGTATAGGTATTTCATAAGGAAGTGAATGGTCTTTCCTTATGTTGAGTGAGAAATATATCAGGTTTTGGCAGACACACATGGTTGGTCACCCCCCCCCCCCCAAGTGGGGTCAAGTGACCCCACTGGATTTTTTTAAGAATTTTACACCATAAATTATGTATTAGTTTTTAAATTACATTAATGTTTAGTACCATTCAATTAATTAAAAATTTTGATTCTTTAATAATATTTGTTCCTAATCCTAACTTTTTCTCTTGTCAGCATGCCCCACCCATCTCGTCAAATCCATATTTTTCTCTAAATAATAATTGAAATTATGCAATCATTTAATTTTGTGTTTTGTCTATTATGATGAAAGCTTACTGTGCTTTACAAATGAACATTCTCAATCACACAAAAAAAAAATAAGATATGTAATGTTTATGAATTTGTTTGAGCGTAAAGTGAAATTGTCTTTACACTGCTTATGAAGGGATTAGGTGATGGGAGAATGTGTTGTGAGCTTAGCAAAGTTTGTCTTTTTGCTGCAAAACTACTTTTGACGAGTAGTTTGTTTGTTTGAAATGGATGTCATATTTTTATTCATGGGCGATTACAATGGAAGACTAACGGTATCACAAAAGTGCATCATTACAGTTGGAAGCATTTTTCGGTCCTAGATATTCAGATTCAAGGTTGAATAATCGTTTCAATTGAGTTAAACACTGAATTATTTGTTTGTTTGGCATGCTTTGTCCAAATAAATTTTTGTTGCTTTTGCTCAAGCAAAATTGATGCGCCTTGCTGAAAATTATCCATAAGATTTTGTAACTTAGAATGGTAGCATTGGGATCTCACTTGATATTAAATTTTGGATGTACTCTTCTAATGTACAAATTTATGGAATTGATGGGACTGGAGATCTTGCAAAGAGTGATGGTGAAACTAAGAAGATAGAGCGGGTTTATTAGTTTATTATTGATAAAATTAACATTGATTTGGCTGTTGCCGGCTACTAGTGTAGAGAGATCATTCAGGATAAAATGTTGTGAAAAATCGTTGCGAAATCGACTGAGTGGTTAATGGTTGAATGATAGTTTAGTTTATATATGAGAGATGATGTATTGATAGTATTGATAATAAAGTAATTATCCAATATTTCAAAAGATGAAATCTCGTCGAGGCCAATTATTAAATGTATAGTGATTATATAGAATTTTATAATCAAAGATTGGGTATCTTTATTATTTTATGTTAATTATTTATTTAACTTTGAACCTGATCCTGATGAGTGTTGTCCTATCCATGGGCCGCCTGGAAACGGTCGTTTATTCCATGAGAAACGATGTAAAAAAATTTTGTTTTCATAAAGAACGATTGTTCTTATGAGATACGGTCATTGCCCTATAAAAAAAAAAAAAAAATATTTAAAAAAAAGATCATTTCTCTAGGGTCTAGTAAAAACCTATGTTTTTGTGTCTTAGGCGTCGTTAGTGGAGTGAAATGCCGTGCAAACTAAATTATATATTATGGTTGTAAGAAACGTTTGTGAGATGGACGTATTACTCTAAAGTCTTAAAACCACTAGGAATTTTCAATGAAAAGTCAAGTTACTAATGTTTTAAATACTGAAAAGTAAGTCCTCAAACTAAAGATGGGTACTATAATTCTAACTTTGAAAACAATATATTGGAGCAAGACGGGTGAAATTAAAAAGTGAATGCCCTTTCTGGTTTTATATGTAGGGAGCAAACTATCTATTGTTGTATATAAAATAATGTGAGGTGTATAATATTTTACTGTTAGTTTTTTTGAACTACAGAATCGGGACTTTACTAAAGCCCCAAAATATATATTTGGTTGGCATAACTATCTATGGACTAAGTGATATTCTTAATTAATGCCTGCATATGTGAGTGTGTTTGATGCTAATGTAAATGACCTTCAGAAATTAAAGACGTTAGTCTGTTTATTTTATTATTTTGGATAGGATTTATAGGATTTTTGAAAAGTAGAGCTTCCGAGGGTAAGATTTGAAAATTAAAAAAAAAAATACCCCCTAGTTTGTTAATTTATTAAACACCCTTGTACTAAAACATTAAAAATTAACAAAAACACCCCACCCAACATTAAATACCGACAGCCAGCCACCACCGTCGGAGGTAGCGGCAGTCGTCGTATGGCACACGACCAGCCTATTAGATCTGGTTTGCTGTGTTGTCGATATACCTTTTCAATCAGAACCATCTTCAATATAACCGAAAAAAAAGTCAGATCTACGACTAGATATGGTGTTGATGGCAAGAGTGGCCATGTTTGGTCATCAACGATGGCGAAAGATTATGGTTGTCGGTGGCCATCGTTGACGACTAGCTATCGGCGAAAGATTTGGTTGTCCCGACCAGAGTTTTGGCCTGAGATATGACATTTCGACCCAATCCACAGTAGATCTGCTGGAAAGGCTTAGATTGACGCACTACCGGCCAAATCTAGCCAGTAGTGAACTATTATACCCAGATCGGCCACCGACTGATGGTGGTGGTAGAAACTGGTAGAGGTGGTGGTGGGAGGTGTTCTTTATCAATTGTTAAACTTTTTTTTGGTGTTTAGTTAAATTAACAAACCTAGGGGGTTAAAATAATAAATAAAATAAAAAAGCATTTTTCAAATAAGGGAAACAATGTGTTATTTTGGGAAAAAACAGGGCAATAGGGATAGTGTAAAATAGGAAAAAACAAACGACATTTCTGCCTTGCTATATTGCATTATAGAAGGATTACTTCATTTACTGCGAAATTGTGTAATATGAAAACACAATAATTATTATTGCAACGTATTAAAACCTGTACTAAAAGGTTTTTCTATATGTACTGATCGTTCTAAATAAGTTTTTATATATATTTTTAAGGGTTTTTTTTTATAATTATTAAAGAATATAATATTTTTAATAACAATTGGTGTATTTAAAACTTAAACGATGTCATCAGGTAAATAAATGAACTCTTATGTATAATACATTTATTATGGCATAAAAACATCCTGGGAGCTAATTTTATGGTTTGTTGTTATGTGATGGTTTTCAGTGGTGTAAGATTTGGTTATAGACATCTCGGTGGTGGTGCTTGCTAGGACAAGGCTACTTGGCAATTGGAGACTTGGGGTGTTGATCTAGTGCTTTGTCTTTTGTGTCCATTAAGGGCACTACTGTTATTG